AGAGAGAGAGAGAGAGTAGCCATTTTTGACTCAAGCAATCGAAGTATCAAGCACTTCACGCATAGCCCTCTCGATTCGCTTGATCCTGTGACCTACGTTCATGGCAGCCAGCGTGGCGGAATGCCCATTTCTGCAGAGTTTGGAGGGCGCCTTCATGAAGTTCCAGAAGAGAGAGGTCTGATTCGTTCCGCCTCTGCCGGTTCCCGAAAGGCTCAAGTGGCGGCCCAGACCGGCTTCTCTCCAGCCGTGCAGAGGAGCTCTATGGCTACAATGACAACCTCTGCGGCCGAAGCAAGCGGAAGAAGAAGAAGGCCAAGGGCAAACGCAGACGGACACCCTCTTCACCTGACTACCCCCCAGCAGGGGGAACGAAAGCCGACAACCACGCAAAGGACAAGCACGCAGCCCTTCTCAACAAGCATCTGCTCCCCCGACAAGGGGGAAGTGGAGCACCCAAAAGCAGCCAGCTCCAGCCAACTGCCGCAACAACCCCACGTTGGCACAGGGAACACACACCCACCCTCAAGCCACAGGCCCCCAAGCCAAGAAACAGAAGGTGAGACTCGCCGCAGCAGATGCCGAATACCAGGCCCAAGCAGAGTGGTACAACCTCCCCTGAAAAAAGCACAGACATAGGGTCGGGGGACCTACCACCCGAAGTGCCGCTATCCAACCATTCCCACCCAGACATGCAGCAGCTCACACACGGATGCTGGTCCCTTGAAATTAAACCCGACCAGGGGACGGACCCGGGCACGGTCACCGGATTGCCACGGGCAGTCGTAGAAGGCGATTTTGGGTCAACAGCCACAGCCCCACCACTGCCAATTGGCCTGGAAGCCATCTTTGCACCAATGACGAACCATCATTGGCTACTCACGGTTCAGGTGGCCCCTGAACCGCCGGCGTACCAGCGAGACAGCATGCTTTTGGCCACAAGGAGCAAGTTATTGTTTGAGGAAACATCCTCGGGCTGGGTCCTTCGTTTCGAGTTTTAAACACCAACTGCCACCTCTCGACCACGAAACTATGTGATCGACGTAGAGGGGACAAAGCCAAGAAGCAAGCCACAGCAGATGCCAAGCCAACCCCAAAGCAGCCGAAGCCAACGGGGGGACTCGCGCACCGGCAACCGGGCCTCGCCTCTATCCCCGAAGAAGACACGGATGATAAAGCAACTGAGCGAGACACCACCGCAGCAACAGGCATGGCAACAACAGACCCAACACCCCAGTCTTCGCAAGCAAGCTCCTCACATGAAGCACCACGCAGCTGCTGTCCCACACGCAGCAGTCCCGCTAAGCCTGCCCAAAGCAGAACCACCACTGCCACACCAGACACACCGGAAGGGGGACCCACACTGCAAGATGGCCGAGAACTCCGACGCCCCACAAAGTTCCCTCGCCGCAACGACCACAGCAACCCCCAGCAGCCACAACACTGGCGGAGCAACTGCGAGATGGCCGTAACATCGGCAAAAGAGGCAGAACACAGGAGGAGCAGTCTCACAGAGAACCCTTTGCAGCCCCATCCCCTGAGCTCCAGCACTCAGCAACACCGACCCCAGCACACCCGGGGAACGGCAGAGGAAGTGGCACGAACATCGCTGACCGACCCACAGTCAACCATACCACTTACCCCCACAACAGTTGCTCCCACCTCCGAAGACTTTCAGGGGAGGCAATCATAGGCAATCGCACAGAGAGACCTGCTCGTTGACACACCTACAGCTGACCAGCTCGAATCCCTCCTTGCTAACGAGGGGGACAGCACACAGCCTCCAGCAGTCGCAGCACTCACGGCAGGGCAAGCCATACGTAACCTAGCTAGGGGACAGATGACTGTAGGCAGCCCTAGCTGTGTGCAGTCCGCCATGCTCGCCCCGCATGTCGCTGCACTCATCCGCTGTGTGGAAACTCTGGCGACGGGGGATGTCAACATACACATCCAGCTACCGCCAGTGTTGACGCCCTTGCGTCAGATCCTGGACCGAATTTTGCAGGGAACGCCGGGGGACAATGTCATGTGGGCCAGGTTAGTCAGATGCCCTGCGACATCCTGCCGATGTAGTGGCCCAACATGCAGGGGAGTGGACAGCATCCTGGTCCAGTTCCCTGAAATGAATGGACGCCGGAGCCCTGGTGGTATGGAGAACGCCACCAAGCGCTTGGAAACCGAAACCCGCACGTTTCCTCGCCGTGGGGACCAGCTGTTAGACGCCCGCGCTCGGCCACAGATGAGAGGGGGACGGCGTCCTTCAGGTGTCCCTCGAAGTCACCGCCGCCGCCGTGCCTTTGCAGCCCATGTTCAAGACCATGACTTGTAAGTGCGTGTGGTCGGGGGACTACCAGTACCGCGACTCCAACTGAGTTGTACATCATGCATCCCGTAACGCAGTGAACTATGTGAGTCCTAATTGTTGTCGTGCGTCGGGGGACATGTGCAGCAAGGGATCCGTCACTGCTCGGCAAGTTCACAGTCATGTTGCATTTTACTCCTTTCTGTGTTCGTCGTGGTACATTAGATGTCCTATGCAAGGAGCCGAAAGCAATCGCCTCGCATGTGGCAATACCTGTCAAGGCGAGTAGATTTTTTTTCGGCCCCCTACTATCTTGCCCCACCCTTCGTAGTCACTCCATCCCAAAACATTGACAGCGTGCCATATGCCAATGGCCCAACCATAGCTTTGTCACTCAAGCGGGGGAGTGTTGAGACTCCAAGTGATTGTCTGTTCACGGTTTTGCAATTGTGTTTGCTTTGGCCGGAGCCTCAGATCCCGTTTACCATACAATCAATCGGGGGACCCCTGTATTGTGTACGTTTTGGGTGTGTTACGACGATAGTCCAGTTCGGGGACCCTCGGCCGTTCCACCAAGCACCCCCTTTAGGTGGTCAACCAGTTTTGTTGTTCTAGTCACGGGGGATGCTAAGTTGACATCGTTCACTAGGCAGTCACTTCCGATTGTCAGCCGCCCGAGTGTGGTGTGCTGTTTTAGAGTTTTGATCATCGTTATCTATAGTGCTGTTGTCCGAGCGGGGGAAGTCGAGAGCTTGAATGATGTCCGTACTGTGTGCATGTGTCCCATCGATGATGTGCTGACGTCCCAGCAAGGTTGTATCTATGTGGGCTTGCTACTAGGAGCACACTCCAGAAATCAATCGTAAGGGGGACCTGCAGCCATCATCGTTTTTCACACTCCCTCAAAAGATGCCCCAAATACTGGGGGGCCTTTACTGGCCAGGGGGTCTGACCAGCCCCTTAAGCCCTGAGGAAGAAGAGAGAAAGGAGATGCAAGGAGCAGAACCTTACTGTGTCGCATAATTGGCGAAATTGACCTGTCAGTCTTGGTGTCATACGCGCACACCCCCAGAAAGCCCAAGAAACAGGGGGGGGCTGGTGGCCGGGGACCTGACAAGTACATTCGTTCCAGTGCAGTTGGCCGGCTTTGTCAAGTTCACCCGCACGCGGCACCAAAGAAGTCAAGGGGGGCGCTCCTTTCCTATACGGCACTAAAATATACAGCGTTATACAGCCAAGATGCGCAGGACGCGCGGACCGCTTGTGCCTTTTACCCCAACCAATGCAAAGACTGATAGACAGACTGAGACAGACAGCCAGACAGGCAGGCAGACAGGCAGACAGACAGACACAGACAGACACACGAAGACAGACAAACTGACTGGCTGGCTGACTGGCTGACTGACTGACGAGTGCATACGAGTGCTAAACAATTCCAGAAAACAGGCGGTTACAAGCTAAGTAGCTACATCTTCATCTACACGTATGTCGTTGCCAAGTGGGAGCCAAAATACAAGCTCACAAATCACTACGCTTGATTATCTCTGGTCTAGAGCCTAATTAGACTCTAGAAGTCGATGTCGGTGATTCTCTGCCAGGTCCTCCTCGTCCGTATGGAACCTGCACGGGGCAGGATGGACTTCAAGCAACAGCAGGGCGCACGCCATCCGGCAAGGCACTGGAACGAAGTGCGTTATGAGTACATTCCGCAGTTGAAGGGTTAGGGCACATGGGACTAGGAATGAGGAAACGGTGTGCGTGTAGGGCTTTCGGGATTATGGAGTTTGGGGGTGTGTCCTCTTTCTTGTTGTGTCAAGTCGCAACAGGTGCGTGCCCCTGCAATACCCGAGATATACACGGCGCCGCAGACTTTAGAATCTGTTTTGCATAAGTCGGAAGCTCACACTGCAAAAATTGTAAGATAGAAGCGTATGGTTCTTCGTAGATGTATGCATGTTCTCACTAGAAGACTTGTTTTTGTTTTTTTATGTAGTCGTAGGGGGGCTTGTATCGCTTGCATTTGACCGCTGCTGCAGGTTGTGCTGGTTGGTGCCTCAGATTCTCAGAGCGTCGCGAAGCGAATCAGGCTACGCGGTGCCGGACAGCTCGCTTCGGTCGCTTGTGGGCTTCAGATCAAACAGCCCCTGCGCATGGTGTGGTCGCATGGCAGTCAGGTCGTGCTCAACTGCGGTGATGCAGACCTGGCGACTTGGCAGCTGATGGGTTGGCAGCAAGCTTGCAGTCATCGTCTTATCTGTGGCATGTCTGTGGGAAAGGAGTTCAAGCTCAAGTATGCAGCTTCGGCGCAGAAGTTTGTGATTCCGGCTCATGCCATTCAGACATATCGCTTTGACGAGTCTTGACTGCAAAGAACAGCTGCTGACTGCGTTCGGCAATGGCAGTGTCAAGCCTTAACTTCACCCTCAATCCCAATCCCACCAGGCCGATGTCAGCAAGGTATCCATGTGAGTGCTGACCGGCGGCAGGAAGAGCATGAAATTCTGTGTCTTGTGCGCTTGGCGCGGACACCTAGCTGAAAGGGAAGTCGAGGATAGATTTTCTTCGAGTCTGCAGCTGAAGTCTGGCTGCCCAGGCAAGAAGCAACATGCCCAGGCTGGAAGGTTTACAACCAAACCTGCTCAGCGTGCGCATTGCACTTCCAATTCAGCGTGTCGGACGTGTCATCCGGTTCCATGGCTAGGTCAGACATCCCATCCCAATCACACTTTGCAGGTCCAGCCCGTATCAGTGAAGATAGTGTGGGTGGCACCTTTCACGCAATCACAACAAGGTGTGCAGATCTTGCTCGATGACACGAGACTTGCAATTATTGCATGTTTACTGCTGTGCTCCACGCACGTGCCTTTCCGTTCGCGACGTGCCGAAAATCACGGGAGTATGTATGCTACAGGGTGCCGATAGGTGATGGTAGCGTCGTTTCAGCCGAACCTTCAGAGACTCCATGCAGCAATCAATTAAAGCTTCGTTCTCAAGTCCCGTCTTGTTTTCCGTTCTCCACACTGGCATTCAGCTCTGCAGAGGTCAGAAGGCATGTCTGAAGGCGCATTGGATCGGCATTGTGCAAAGGCCCGGCAGTAGCGAGACGGGATTCTTCATGGTGGGGCAGTTTGCCCATCAGCCGCCAAGCGAACCTTGAAGCCCGAAAAATGGCCGATAGGAGCAGCTGACATGCTGAAGATTACCTTCGATGACAATCGATGACAATCGCAGAAGTGCAGTTTAGGCGGCCTTGCTCGTCCAAGGTCGGAGAACCGCGGTGGGACAGGCACGGAAGGCAACGCTGGAAACCGTGAACGGACCCGTAGTACGGGAAACCAGCAGACTGTAGTCGCAGCTCGCTGAAGCGAGCTTACAAGGCTTTCATTCGCCTGTGTTTCTGTTGTATGGTGCCTCTCGTAGCGATGCCACAGGTAAGGCTTGAGTTCCGTTCAGAGCAATACCCTGCAGTTCCTGTGGTGTTGCATATGTTTGGCACGTGCTGAGGGCCACTCAGCTGCCGTTAGTACAGCACGCAGCCACCTCGCTTTGCCAGAGATGAAAAGGTCGCGTGAACATGTTGCTGACACTTGCCTTCAAAGTCCTGCTTCCTTAGTTGAGCCAGCATTCCAACATATTGAAATCTGTGCAGGCACTGGTAAAACTCGTGCCACAGAACTGTACAATTGTCAGCAGCATTGCCCAAATGACTCTTCGGCTCCCAAGCTCATGAACGTTCACTAAACTTACAACCAAAACCCTCCTCCCCAAGTATCCACAGGCGGGCCCCATGCAACTCAGTGCGAGGAGTGGAGGTAAGTGCTCTCAGTTATAATATGTTATAACTACAAGTCTTCTCTCGAAGTTCCCGACATGTAACCTGCATCGAAAGGTTCGTCCTCATTGGCAAGGCGAGCAGCCACAAACTCCCGACACCCAACTTCCTAAACAAATTCACGAAGAGCCCACAATAAATGTTGAGTGTATGCGAGTTGAATGCTCTAACACTTGAGAGGCACAAAACCAACAGCTTCGTGAGCAGCTGGCGCGCCTGGGGCAGCTTCCGAGCAATCTACAGGGCTGGAGCCCCAAAGTAGTGGCAAGATAGCGGATCTTTCTACGCTCGGAATATGGCGTATCTCAATTATTTGTTGTCGCCAAGCATGGCATTCTCGCTAGCAACTAGGTGAGAATGATATGTCACGAACCACCACGCTGTGGTGCAGACATGTGTGATTCAGAGCAAGACAAACCGTGGGTTCATCGGGGGGTAGCACGTGCTCATACGTACACACGTATATATCCGTATATATATATATATATATTTATTTATTTATTTATATACTATATCTGTATGTGTATTCATATCATACGGGATGATGTATACATGGGCGAGGGAGCCTGGCTTTCCGATGTCTGTTTTTTTTGGGCGTGTACTGCTCGACCATGCTCACTCAGGAAGCGTGGCCGCAGCCAGGAAGACAGGACCGGCACAGGCCTGGTCAGCAGTCAGGCTGTATATAGATTACACGAGCTGCTATGGCACTCAGCAGTCTGCAGCCTAAATAAACGCAAAACCGCAACTGGACAATTACTGTCATTGAGGGGGGCAGGGTACTGCATCACAAATGTTCAGAAGGAAAGGAATCCGCTCAAGCTAGTGATGGCTTTCTTGTGGTCGCGTCGGGCACCTTGAAAGTTTGACAAGTAGCCAGCCAGTGTAGCACTTGTTGACAGCAATGGTGGCAATTATCACAGCACAACCAGCAGCCATAGGCCACAGGACATGTCATAGTGGGAACGGTCCTGGTTCTACGGTTTCATTTCTCCGAAGGCCCTGATATCACTCATATTTGGAATTACATATTCTGAATGATATCGAATCGTTCTGAAAGATCTTGAGTAGTTTGGAAATCGCCGCCTTTGTGGGGGCAGGGCCGCTAGGTCCATGTGCAAACCCTGAACTCTCCCTGTTGCCTGAATCCGTGCCTGCCTTGAGCCAGCGTGCGAGTTGTGAGACCCTAAATCCTACCGTCCCGAAGTCTGGCTGTGGCTTGCGATGCGGGAGTCCCAAAAACCGTACTTCTCTAATCCGCTGTACGCCAGCTTAGGGTTTCCGGAAGTCCGAAAGCCAGGGTTTAGGGTTTGTCTTGGAAAAGGAAACCAGGAAGTCCGAAAGACAAGGAGCTTCGGGGGCGTTGGGCCTTCTTGCAGGGAGGAGACATCTTCGAGAAAACATCGAAACCGAAGACATAACGGAAAAAATCAGTGAACAGAAACTGACAAACGAAAAGCTCACGCAGTATAGCAAGTCTGAACATGTAAAGTACAGCCCCAAATCACACCAACCCTGCGAAGTTTTTCCAAGACATGTGTCCAGCTTTTTGTCCGAAGAAGAGCAGAACATCGCAGAGTCATAGAGAAACTCCCAAACATCTCCAAAGCATTCAAAAAGCTGGACAGCCGAAAAACAGCAAGACCATCCAAACAACGATAACAAATCTTCAAAACATGTTGGAAGATCTGTTAAACGGTATAAAGAAACCCAAACACGACTTTAAGGAGATACAATGTCAACAACATTCGATGAAATCAAAAAGGCAGAAATTCCAACAGCAGCTCGAACACACATCCATTCCACGACGTCCTTCCAGAACTGTGTTTCTCTGCGGGTACGTCTGGTGGGAGTCAGTCCGACTTCAAACAACACACTTTCAGCTGAAAGTGTGTTACAATGTTGCTGGTTTCTGTTGTTGGGGTATGGATTCTGTTGTTGGGGTGTTTGCTCGAAGGCTTAGGAAACGCCACTCACATCAACAGCATGAAACAGCGCCGCGTCGAAAGGAATGAAAGTAATCAAAACGGAGTGATTTCGCATGGTGCCATCGTCCAACACCCACCCCTCGAAGAAAGGACGCTAAAGCCAAGGAAGACTCATAGCTTAGAGTTGCACTGGGACATAAGACATCAGAAACCCGCAAGTCCGAAAACACTCGAGCCGGCCTGGCCCATGGAGTCTAAACATATGCAGACAGATACACCGAAGCACGGGCGTTTGCAAAGGTGTTCTCGCACACACAGGTGAAGTCATGTCAAGCCGTAGTGCAGTCATTTGGCAGGACTTGGCATGCTGTGAGACTTTGTTGAACTACTTAGTTAGAATGGTTCTTAGTGATTGTGAGATGACCGGGACCCAGCTCCACTAGCCAGATACCAGATGCCTCCCACAAGACACCTTATTCTCTGAGGAAATTGTAGGCGGAGCGCAATCGCCATGGGCTGCGCATTTGAGACCACGACCTTTGCGAACTCGGCCAGCCTCTGAGCTCAAGCTGCTGCGCGAGTGAAAAGCTGGATTGGCACAGAGACATCCGTTCAACATGTAGCCCTTCCTGATGCGTTTCATACAGCCTCGGGAAGCAAAGCAAATCCCCAACGAAGGCGGATGTCCTATCTGCCATGCCACATCGGAAGTGAACAGGGACACCCGTTGATAGTCTCTCCCCACACGGGCAGGGAAGTCTCATGACAATATGGCTTTGAACATGTGCGCTCAACATTGCATGCCACATTGCCAGAGGTGACTGCCCGCGAAACTCTTGCATCGTATGCCATCCATGGTTTTGGTCGCTGAGACAAGAATACCTCGTGCGTGGACGGACTGATCACTTACTCCGTGCGAAGCTGCTTTGCAGTCTACGTGGTCGATTCATCCTGCTGCCCGTCACGAGCCTCCTGCACGGGCCTATGGCTAATTGCTGGGCCAACCGCGTTTCTGATGAAGTGGAGTGGGGTGGCCAGTCCAGTTCTTTGAAAGGCTCTGCCACAGTCTATGTCTTCAAAGGAATGGCATATTGCATTAGCTCTGAGACATTGGTTGAGACAGAGCTACGCTGGGAACTGACGGACATAGTGCTTCCGCAAATTTCGAAGGCCTGTCCTGCTGGAAACGAGGGTTGTATTGGTGCATGAACCCGTTTGGTGCTGTGCTTTGGCAGTGGTCTATGATGGTATCTTTGCTCCGAGCATCCCGCACTTGCCACCTTACGGCGCGTTCGCCATCGAGATGCCAGTCGAGGATACCACGCGAAGGCCTTGTGCCTTACCTCTATGATATTGACCATTCAGAGACTGGCACCGACTTGGACATGCAGTATAATCTGACTGAGCATGTGCCGGTCACCTGCCCATTATTAAAGAACTCATTGACAAGTGTGCTAACTTGCCGTTCTTTGCGCTTCCTCACTTACCTCTTCTAGGTCCAGGTGTCAACTGGCAAAGCTTTGCACGACCGATGCAGCCAGGAAAGCTGCAATAGGATCCGACACTCAGCCTCTAGAGCTGAGATAGAAAAGCTAGCTTGATCCTCGGAGCTTACTTTTTGAGACCAGTGGGCTGCACTTTAGTGGCCACGTCCTGCTTGAGACCTCAATAGCACAGCCATTTCCCGACGCAGCCTTCTGACATCTCAAGGGAGCATCAATGCAAGCCCTTCCCTGCCTTCCTAGCATGAGTCATGCGCCATCGCCTTTCGTTGGTTTGCTGGATGTAAGACCTTTCCAGCCCTCTGAACCTGGCCTGTCCAGGGACCCAGTTCCGCAGCATGACATACGGAAATACGAAGATGCAGCTCGACATGAAGCAAAGGATGCTCAAGAAGGTCGCAGCGCGTCGGCTGCCTTCCAGTCTCTTTTGGATCAAATCTCACAACAACACCGAGCAGAAATCCTGGACCTAGAGAAGCAGATAAGCAGTTTGCAAGGGATGCTGGTCCAGCTGAACACAGGTACCACTGAGAAACTTGAAGAGCCGCTCATGGTATCTGATGATGCTTGGCAGACGACTGTTCAAATGAAGAGTGAGGGAGTGCACTGCAAAAGGTTGCGGAAACAGCACCAAGGCAAACGAGAGATGCATGCTTCTCAACTGCTGGATGCCCTGAACGAAAGGATGGAGAGTGACAGTGCAGATGGCTCTTTTCAAGCTGATCCCTTGAACCCTGACACCATGTCTGACAACAGCGCAAATGATGCGCAGACTCCGTCCGATAGATGGAAAATGTGGCTGCAGTCAACGGCCTTCGAAGTCATCATAGCTGCGACACTTTGTTTGAATGTTATGTGGATGGCGGTCGAGCTGCAAATCTACGGGTCCATGGTCGGTCATGCTTTGGGGATTGTTGCCAACCCCTTGGTGCAGGAGAATCGCAGAGCCTCAGTGGACAAGGTCTTCATGCTGGGCGATATCCTTTTTACCTCCTTTTTTGCACTGGAAGTTGGCTTGCGCATTTACGTGTTCAGGCTTGACTTTTGGAAGGTGTGGAGCAACTACATAGACGCAGCAGTGAGTGTGGCTTCGGCTGTACAAGTTGCTTTATTCTATATGGAGACGTTGCCAGTCAACTTAGCCTTGTTGCGCCTGTTGCGGATTGGAAAGCTGGCGCGTCCTATTCGCATGATAACTATGTCAAGCGTAATGGCGTCCCTGCAGTTGTTAATCAAATGTGTCGCAGGCAGCGTGAACATGTTGTTCTGGAGCATGTGCCTACTCTTCTTCTTGCAATGTGTCGCCGGGATGATTGTGAGCACGATATGTCGGGACTACATTGCGAGCCCAGCGCATTCCCCTGAGCTTCGACAGGAGGTCTTTCTGTACTTTGGCACTTTCTCAAGGACTATGCTGACAATGTTTGAAGTATTATTTGCAAATTGGGGGCCACCATGTAGGGTACTTGTCGAAGACGTCAGCGAGTGGTTTTCGGTGTTCTTTCTTCTGTACCGCTGCGTATTTTGTTTCTCTATCCTGAATGTGGTAAATGCTGTTTTTGTGCAGCAGACATTGAAGACTGCGAACTCTGACGAAGAAATCGCTTTCAAGCAGAAAGAACGGGAGTTGGCCATTTATGGCAGACGCGTCAAGACTCTTTTTCAGACGGTGGACGAGTCGGGCGATGGGTCCATAAGCTATGATGAGTTTTCCAAGTTGGTCCAATCTCCGAAGCTGAAGTTTTGGATGAGCCAACTGGAGCTGGAGTACCATGATTTGCTGTCGCTCTTCGAATTCCTGGATAACGGCGACGGCAAAATCACTCTCACAGAGTTTATTGAGGGCGCACAACGTCTGAAAGGCAATGCCAAGGCCTTAGATATCTGGCGCATAGAGACCAAGCTCGAAGTCCTCGTCCAGGAGGTCCTGCATGCATTATCGGGTGAGCAATTCGCCTCGGTGCAGAATGTCTTTGACAATTCATCGTTTAAGCGAATTCAGACGACGAGAGTGAGCAGGGGATCAGGGTCTTCAGAACCCACTGTGGACTGAAAGTTCGTTACTACTGCAACACTACCTGCAGCAAAGCTGTCGGATTGAAGACGTAGTGTCTCGCGGGAATCATGAATGTATTTAGGGTTGGTATCGCTCCGGGAAGGGTGGCATATGTCATGAGCCCTGGGGCACGCAACCCTCGTCCCTGTGGCAGTGGCAGTGGGAAGTCTTGTCAAAGTTCCATTGCCCTGAGCACCCCCTTCCGCAACATTGCAAGGAGGGTGGGCCGCTGAATTCATTCCAGGACATTTTGGCTGATCTTAAACTAGTCGGCCCGTTGCCTGCAGGCAGCCTGGTAGTCTGTGAAAAGTCCGAAAAAGGCTTCAGTGAAATTTCGGACTTAGTGGTTCCTCTTGCCCGCCTAGGCAGTATACTATTTGATTATCTCACTATGCCTCGTTATAATAGCATCTCGTATGCTACATTACAGTACACTCTCTAGTAAAGTGTGGTATAGTAGAGCATAGTACAATATAGTACAGTGTAGCATCCCGTAGTATATGATTGTATCTTAGAGTATATTATATTACAGTAATTGTATGACCCTCCAGTATAGCAATTGTCTTATACCAGGAGGCACGCCAGTTCTTGTCGGCCCGGTTCCTGCAAATGCTCCTGACACCAGGCCCTGTCATCGCGCACCCCGAGCGTCCAGGCCGTGCAAGATGCCAGGCGCAGTGTATACATTACATAGATAGATACATAGATAGATAGACTTAGATGTATATATACACATAATTTTTAGTGTGTTTGTGTAGAATGAATATATATATATATAATATACACACATGTAGAAGCACTGCAGCTGGCGACAAGGTGTGCAAGAACCGCAGGTTCAACATCAATGGTTTCAATTCGTTTCAGGATGGAGCGACCCTGGCCCTAAACCCAGTGCGATGCAGGGCCCTCCTGCAACATCGGTATCAAGTTGCGAGTCATGCCCGGAACTCGGCATTCCTTCAGTTGGGCTCCTGCCCAGAGAGCCTAACAGCCCTCACGTAAGCATCACAGTGCAAGGGAGCCCTTGAGCGTAAGGACAGATTGAACGTGCATTCATGAGCTGAACTTCTGGGTTCTTGTGGGAGTGCTCTGTTTTTTTTTGCGTGCTTTCAGGAAGTCGTCTCTTTCCTTCAGGTTTTCCAGATTTAGAGGTTTCAAGTGCTTGGGCATTGCTTGCCTCCGGCCATCGTTTCCCTCAGAACTCTTCTGGCGTCGCATTGACGAGGAGCTGAGACCAGAAACGACGGCCACTTCGCACTTGGCTTCCCTTCTGAGGTGGGCACCGAATAGTTTTCCTTGGTATTGATTGGTAATGCAATGCCGACGCAGGGCGTACTCGTGCTTGTCAGTGATGAATGTGCGGTGCAGTGGCGGGGGTTCAGTCAAGTTTGCACGAGTCTGTCGGCTGCAGGAAGAGGCTGGAGCTAAACCTTTGCCGGGCACCAAGACCAAGTGCGACAGAAGCATATCATAGTATATTACGCAGAGGTATATAGTACTTTGTCGTATCTTATAATAGAGTGAGGTTCGAAGGTCTTGCAAAGTTCCAGACAGTGATGGCTGTGCATATCAGCTCACACGCCTTTGGTATGTTCTTGCCCAAGAAGGCCAAGAGAGGACAGCAGAGTTGGAAACTCTCCGCCAGAAGCCCAGCTTTCTTTTCAACTAGAGATTAGTCACAGCCTTGGACGACAAATTGCAGACCTGTGAGATAAAGCATAGGGCATGGAAAGAGTTTCGGGCTTTTGCATGCTGGACAACATCTGCATGCGGAGCTTTCGGCTGACAGCCACGGTAGCTCGGTTAGGATATCCTGGCCTGTGTTAGTTGGGGAACTCCGCCCCCATCCTGGACATGAGTGGCATGGTCGGGATGAGAGTCGACGTGATCTGGAGGGATAAGGGAAGGATGCAGGCAGATTTACAGCTGGTCGAGCATTCCTAATTGGCAGGAGGTCACCATCTGCTCGCTGGTTAAACAACCTGAAAGCGAAGCATAATCAGCAAAGTACATCATTCTTGCCCTTGCGGAATCCAGTGCCCAACATAAAGGTGTAAAGTGACTCGCTAAGCCGCCAAGCGTCTGGTCTTCGGCCGCCATGCCGTCGCAGACGCTAGACCTTGCAGCGCCAAGGCTTGAACGAATGAGAAAAACCGGGTTTCTGCAGCGTTTTGGTCGGGATGTGCTGGGGTCAGCAGGGGATCGACAGGCTGCGATCCGCTTTCCGTTACTAAAGCCAAGGCAGCCAGTGGCTACATCAAGAAGGCAGGCCACCGTTTGTTTCGGATACCCCTGCCGAACCCCGAGACACTTCTTTTGTGAGGTCCTCCGCAGTGTGGCCAAGCATCCGGCGGTGGCGCTGCTGATCCTGCGGGTTATCGAGGCTCGAGTGACTAAGAAGCTTTGATGCAAGCACGAACTGAGAATGCAGGTCCTCGTGACTTTGTGGGGAAGGCGACAGGGGCCACAAATTCCTCCCCAATGCTTCCAGGGACCAAACAGCACACTATCGATAGTGTGATCTGCCTTGACTCTGCAGGTGGCGACGCCACGTCCAATCCAGGCATCTTCTTAATGAGCTCATGTTGATATAAGTATAAGAGGCTACCTTTGACCCCCTCAAGGCGGCAAGTTCTTTGCCCTGCCAACGAGCTGGAACTGGAGTCTTGAATGTTATTGGTTCACCTCGTGAGTTGAATATTCAAGACCTGTCCACCGTCTCAGGACCTGGTCCAAGGCGCAGCTGCAACAGAGCTTATGTGCATTGAATCTTTGACTTGCTTGATCTTGCAAAAGCCTGCTCGACCCGTATGAACAACTGTTCGGGGACAGAATCGAAATCGACTTGACAAGTAACCCTAAGCCCTAAACCCTAATTCTTCTCCCGGTTTCTGTGCAGACCAGCAGGCTGCTTGCTCACTGCAGAGAACTTGCTGAACCTGGGCCGGGTCGAGAAGAGGACGCTCTTCCAGGCCTCGGAACCGATAGTGACATTCATGATTGATTATAAGGATGGTATAGCAGAGAGTATTATGGTTATGGTTGTGGTTGTTGTTGTTGTCGTCATTCGTTGTTGTTTCGTATAGTCGTCATGTTTTGGAATTAGTTGTGTCAGCATCTGTACTGCTTGTACCAGGCATTATCATCATAAGCTATAATCATTTTCATTTTGTATTAGTTTCACAAGTTATGGCAATTATGAAGAAAACGATATGCTTAGATTGCGTTTAGTTTTGTATCATGGTCTGTGTTTTTCCTACCCTTTGTCGAAGCTGGTAATGGTTGCTATGATTAGTAGCAGTCGTCCTCGTAGTCGCGGATGTGGTAGTAGCACTAGCAGTAGTAGCAGCAGTAGTTGTTTTTTCATTGGCAGCTCCTCCGTAGCTCTGTATCTGAGATATCAAAAGGGACCCAGACACACGCGGACACCCTAAGCCCTTCGACTGCGCCTGAGACCTCGCCTGGATTGTCCGAGTTGTGAGAGTGTAAAGCCTAAACCCTAAACCTAAACCAAGCCAGGTGTCAGCCAGCAAGCTTCTGAACCGGAATGAGCATTTGGTCTCAGTCTTGAAAGATGCTGCACAGCGCTGCCACGAGCAGAGCGGTTTGGCCGCAGGTATTCCGGGTTTAGGGTTTAGGGTGGTTGCTTGCTTCACCTGCAGTAAGACCGGAACTTTTCTCAGTTTGATAGGCAGCATCCGTTCGTGCACACTGTACATTGATTGAGGTCACAATTGCCTGGTGGCAAGGTGGTTGCCGCCAGATGAACGCTACCACATCCTTCAAGCCTCCATTAACGCCATGAGCCGCCAGACGTCAAGACACGGATTTTATTTCGAACCCTAGCCAGTTTCAATAAGGACAGGTTGACAGTGCCGGTAGCATTGCATACATCCCCACCAAGGCTCGTTGCTCGGCCCCAACTACGTACACCAGAACGCCTTAGGCGACACGGACCTTTTCAAATCAACCTGGCTCCCTGGATGCACTCAGAAAAGATGCACTTGCTGCCTTGCCGCACTGAGCCTGTTGCAGATACCTTCTTCTGTGTCAGGTATTGTGTCACAATCATGACACCAACCCGAGCTGAGAACCATCTGCCAGATGAGCAAAAGGTGGGCTGGACGCACATTGAGGGACAAGAGGGAGTGGCAAGGCCAACCTAGGCCCTTCGTAGAAAGAGAGGACTACGTGTCACGAGAGACATGAGCTCGACAAAGGGACAAGATCTTTTGGATGGGGTTTTACCAGCTTTGCCGAAATAAGGCCCCTCTGGGCTCTTGCCAGTTTCAGGCCCCTTTCACCCCATGAAGACCTAAAGGAGTGGCCTCCAGAAAGAGATTGAGAGCTCTCGCAGATGTACCGGCACTCCACTTCCGATAAAATCGCCCCCGAGGTGTCGGCCACCACGCAAAGCCTTGAGACGTGCACCTTCACGGACATGACACGCACGCCACGACCGACTCTTAGCGCCTTGGCCAAGCTACAGTTGTTTCGTTCAGAGTGCAATGAGGGCAACGACAGCTGCCAGAAAAAAGCTGTTCCGCCCTGGTTTCTCTTCGAAGTGACAGGCTGCTTGACCAGCTGACTTGTGAGGAATCTGTCTCGTGCACGAGTCGGAGCTGAGAGGGATATCAGATGGCGCTGGACTTAGAGTATATCCGAACAGGTCCGCCTGCTTGTCCCTCCGTGGTCTGAACATCTGCATCCGTGCATGTATGTCCATATGTAGCATGTGTGTATGTGCTTGCTTGTATGTGTATGGGTGTATGTATGCATTTATCGCACCTAAGTAAGTCTAAGCATGCCTGCATGCGTGCATCCATACATACATAGAGATGTCTATATACCTTTATATTTGTATTCATTGGTTTGATCTGTTTGTTTGTTTGTTTAGTTGATGGTTTAATGTGAGTTTCCTTTGCTCAGTTTGTTTATCTGATCTGTTGGAGTATTTGGTTATTTGGTTAATCTGCAAGTTTGCACATGCGCATGGCCCAAGTCGAAGCCACACCGAGGAAAGCTCCAACCACCATCCTGGGGGTTCTTCAACAGCCGTCACGCCGAGACTCGGCTTCTGGTTGATGGCTCTACTCAAGGCTGCTGCTGGGGCCTAGGGTTTATTCAGAGTAATGCTACCCCCTACAGACGTAGACAGTATAAGATGTCGAATTGTCGAGGTCCCGGTATTAGGCTGTTTTTTGGCCATGCGCAACTTGGCAAGACCAAGCGAGGAGGTTCGGTCCGCCAGTTGACCTGCGGCTCCAGAACCCGTAGTGCTCCGAAATCTGTCTGCTCGTGCTGGCTTCCAAGTTTGGGTGGCCTTTTGAAGGCTGAGGAATACACTAAATCACTAAATGCGGCATCACAAGCATACGCAAACGTGCTGCACCCATGGCCCTTGAACGTGGTTTTCCTGGACGAGCAAGCAAGTGGGTCGCTCTCAGGAAAGGTATCGGATGCTTTGCGACTTCAGCAGAAACTTCCAGCAACAGCTCCTTGGCCCGTAAGATGTGGCATCCTTACTGCGCCTCGTCAAGCAAAATGCGATAACAGGCCTCTGTGAACATTGCAAAAGACGAATGCAGTTTCTGAAAGGAAAAATGAGTGCCATGCGAGAGCTTTTCTCGTTCATCGATCCGTTTGGAGGTCACGGATTGATGGCATGCTACTTACTTGAGGTCAGTCTTCCCTTGCTCTCAACAGCAGGTGTCGGCTTTTGTGGTAGTCCTTTCGTTTCGGCCTTCTTTGAATTCACTCACGTTCAACATGAGCCAATTAGCTACAGTTTGTCTTTTCGCAAGAGCTAAACCCTAAAGCCGCCAGCGCTCCTATCATGATGCGTGCCGCCACACTCCCAGCGTGGACAACGAAGGTCAAGAACACTTTCCTGGAGTTTGATGAAGAGGACGAGCCTCGCTACCGTCGGAGCAGTTCCGCGCCGCCGCGCATGCTGAGGATCGCTCCGGAGGATCCACCCTTTCAATCTCAGATTGCTCCGGAGGA